GCAAGAGGAAATCAAAAACCACTGGCCAAAACTGAATTTATACTAGTCTAGCCGTGGCTAGTTGCCTACTGTTAATGTTGAGCCCTGGCACTGTAATTGTCTTAGTAATGAGGAAAAAAATAAGTGCCAAATAAAAGACCAAAAGACCTACAAATACTAACTCAATGGTTCTCGATTTAGAAGCCTCCAAAAATTTCAAAAAAGAAAAATTTCTTACCTCAGTAGTTATAAGAGAGTTCCTTGACAGATCCAAGGACTTGAGTCGAGTGAATCCATGAAGAGCTGTACCCAGTGATGAAATCTTCTCATTATATGCACCAGGAAGTGAGAGAGATTTCACATCATCTACCCAAGAAATAATACAATAAGTTCCCCATAATTACTGCTCATATAGTGCATTGTCTCCATTAACCCAATTAATTCAACTCCCAATGTCCTATCCATAAGTCATCCTTCTCAATATGTAACTCCCTAAAATTCACTTGTCCTCTATTACTTCAAAACATTTTATCAAAGAACCCCTTCTGGCAGCTGGTATGTCAGCTGATGTCTGTGGCTGAGGCACCATCTGAAAATTGAACACTTGGCCGAGAAGCAAACCTTTGATGACATTTTTTCAGCTAACATTTATTTATTTGATAACCCATTTGGTTATTTCTGGAGCAGTAATTGAAATCAGTTTTTTATGTCATTATCACTGGACTCTACAAAAAGAGTTTGTTTTTCCTTTATGTAAGATAGAAGGTGAAAAAGAAAGCACTGAACAAAAATTGACAAAAATGGGGCTAGCATGATTTACCATCCAGTGATTTTGCACTATTTTAAGTCACCAAAAGCATATTGTGAAAATTAATTGGGAGGGAGGGAGGGTTGGATGGGAAATATTTAGCTTAACATTATGATCTACTGGCTGAGTGTAGCTTTTTCCAGACCAGCCCACATCAACACATCCAGCCCTGCACCCTGGTACTATGGTTTTTAATGGAATTGCACCAGCAAGGCTGGACAGGTCATGATAAATCATATCACACCAGATATGTTTTTTTCCATTCTCGTCACTCTATGCTTGACATTACTGCTGTGAGAAGACATTTCAAGGACTTATCACTTCTTGGAATCAAAGGGTTTCAAGGAAGTTGGCAAGTCCATTGTAGGCATTTCAATGAGCTGAAACGTTTAGTATAATTTAAGGATAAGCGGTTGATTGAAGTATTTGACAGAAACCTTAATTCTGTCCGATATTATCTTAACCTTTATCTGCATTGTTATACATCAACATTCTTGAAGGATTCTCTAGATGTTTCTACCCTATTACTTTTGCAACTTCAAGATGAAAGGTTGAATACCGTATTTCCAAGAGTAAGTGCCCAACTCAGTATTTTCTGGTATTTTGTATAGGGCTTACTATAGACAAGGATGAAAAGAACTTTCGCAAGCAAACGTGTCTGATTGCAAGGGGAAGGATAAAAAGACTCAAGAGGCAATTGACAATGCATCTCTCGTGCTCCGAAACATGCAGCTGATTAATCAAGTTTCGGAAACGAAGTTGCATGCAATGTTCATAATTATTAAACTAAGCCAACACAATCCATAAAACTTAGGACGACAAATTTAAATAGACAAAACAGCCAAAGATTGACTGAAATGATACAGAGGTGATGAAGATTGGCAGAGAGAAATCTAGGACGCACTGCACCACAAAATTCAAGCGACGTACAGAACAAACAAAACATTGGCACAACTCCGTTGGAATGCACGAGCAAAACAGAACAAAACCGTCATTGCTGACGATTTTGCGGAGGATCAGGAGTAAGAAAAGGCGAAGGAACAAATTGGTGAGGCACCAGTGAATACATCATACCCAAATGATCATGTTTTAACTTGACACGTTCTCTGATCCACTGTTCCGTAATTCTGAGCGCCATTTTTTGAAAAAACTTCAAGCAAAGCTTTAGAGTAGTTACCAGGTTCCTCGGCGAAGACCCAGAGACAAGTGTCACGCAGAACGAGTTTTTCGCTCTGGTGACCAAGAGTTATAATTTTTAAATTCTCTTTTTTTTAATTTTCTCAGAATTAGTTTAAGCCCTTCCCTAGATCATATAAAATATCTGCTTGAGAGACTAATGTTCTAACTCAAAACAATAACAAGTTCCAGTTACTCGCAACCGCTGGAGTTGCCTTGCGTGACAAACCAACTTGATCCCTTGAAGATCCCCAGCTAGTGGGGATAAGGCACCTTAACACAACTTGTTGTGACCGGAATTTGCAAAAACAGAAATACAGAAAAAATATTTTTAACAAAGCCTGCGGAGCAAACGTGATTTTTGGCGTTTTACAGGACAGAAGCTGTAGGCGAGCGCGAAGCGCGAACTGATAAACGCAAAAAAAAAAAGAAAATTACGCCTTTTTCTGTAGGCTAATTTTTAGTTGACCCAAATAATTGTCATAACCCAAATTCAATTCAAATCCAAAACGTTTGTGTTTCGAAGTTTACCCTCAG